ATCATAAGTTGAGGAGCATCTTATTGCTTTTCTACATTCTTACCAATCGGTCAACTATCCTTTGAATATTCTTATTGAAAAAAAGGGGAAACTGCCTTATATTCATAATTGCCTATATTTAGATTTTATACGGTTAATTGTCAACATTAAAAACCAAATGTCACAGACAATAAAACTCCAAGGTGATTTCATAAACCAGATTTGTCTTCTCTTGAAAAATTAGCTGGTCCAACTGGACTTTTGTTACTGTATAACCACAATTAGCTTAAGCTAAATAATGGCTACCCTCTTGTTTTTAAGATATGGGATCTCCAGTTTGCAACAGTCCCTACTCCATCTCTCTATATCATCTCCCTAACACTAAAACTAAATCTGTGTTAAATGACATCATTTTGTTCTGTTTTTCTTAGGCTTATGCTGCTTTACTCATTACCTGCTTTTCTGTGTGTATCAGACAACTGTAGCTGCTATAAAATCTTGACTTTTTATAAATTCTTACCCATTTCATCCAATTTCTCCATGTCCCGGATAATCTGTTTGGGGTCTTTCATCTTCAAAACTGCAGCTCGTACCATCATACGCTGTTTTTTGTTCTTAGAAAAACAAAAGAAAAGCAAAATGTTAAGAAACTGAACATCCATGAGTTTTTATTTCAAGAATCCATTTAAACAGAATTTAAAATTTCTCCTTTGTTTTCTGATCACTTATTTCAATTGCCAGATACAAAGCTATTTTTTTTGCTCTTAAAAATGTTAAGACCTTAGTAAAAAAGTTGTGCTTTTTAAGACAAATACTGCTTTTAACTTTGTGAGATCTTTAGTAGTTACACAACAGAAAGACTTTTCTTAAAACAAATGTTGCAGCTTAATCAAAAAAATCACAGGAAAAAGCTTTGCAAGATTATTAGTAACCCATTAAAAAAAAAAAAAAAAAACCCACAATTGGAAATTATTAAAAATCAAAGTGCCCTCGGAGTTGGGGTTGTGGCTCAGCTCTAGAGTGCTCGTCTAGCACATTTGAGGCCTTGGGTTCGATCCTCAGCATCACATAAAAATAAATAAAATAATGGTATTGTGTTCAACTACTTCTAAAAAATAAATATTAAAAAAAAACTAAGTGCCCTCAATGTGTTAAAACATGATACACTTCCTATTCTGCTGAAGTACTTCACTACAAGCTATCTGGCATCACATTTATTTCCATTCACTAATCTAGTAGCTTTTAACAAAGCCATTATGTTTTGATAAGCAGTAAAAAAAGAATTATTGCTGGGCACAGTGGCACATGCCTGTAATCCCAGTGGCTTGGGAGGCCGAGACAGGAGAAGAATGAGTTTAAAGCCAGCCTCAGCAACTTAGTGAGGCCCTAACCAACTGAGACCCTGTTTCTAAATAAAATACAAAATAGAGCTGGGTATGTGGCTCAGTGGTAGAATGCCCATGGGTTCAATCCTTGGTACCAAAAAAAAAATTGTCAAAAACATTTTCAACTTATTGGGAAAGATAATAAACAATGACATCATAAATAATCATGAATTTATCTGCAGTTTAATAAACAAATCTTGGTTAGTAAATTTTATGGTTTTTATCAAAAGCATAAAGCATTTTTTTTCTGGCAGGAAACTGGAAATGTTATTCTGAAATCTACTTATCTCAAAAGATGTGCCAAAAATCACTTATAGCTATTCAAGATGCTTCTGAAGTCATACCTTTTTTAATTCTCTCTTCCGGGCTTCCTTTCCTTAAAAGGGAAAGAGGGAGAGAAGATACAATTTTTAAATCTTATTGAGAAAAGCTCACTAATCATGGCAACCCCAAATTTCAGGACATTAAGTTTCTTAGAAAACAATTATGAATCTTAACAAAAAGTTACCATAAATACTAAATAAGAGCTGGTAAAACCTAATTGGTTCAAAACTCCTCTGAATACATAAAGGTCTTAAGCCAATTCTACTTTGTCAAGTCAATATGGGTAGAAATTTATTGGCAAATTTAAATTTTTAATCATGTGCCCACAAGAACTAGATGATTTCATACAATTTCCTCCTCCTATCACTGATCTTATAAATAAGTCACAATGAAACAGGTTCCTTATTAACTGCAATTTTTAATATCCTCTACTTCATTCCACACTGATAGACACTTACGGGCTTGGTCTGTAGGGTTCATAAATTTTCCACTCTTGGTGGATGATGTTGATCTCCGTCCCATGTTGACAATATGTATGGTTCACTTATTCATTTAAAAAAAAAATAAACAAACCTGTAAAGACAAAGAAATAGATTATCTTTCCTATATTGATAACATTTCCTCCTTTTTAGTGTTCCTATCTCTGGAAAGAAACTTCGCTTTGATCATGAATTTTGTGAGACTGTGATCTTTTCTTAGTTTTGACTTTAGTACCCAAGAAAGATGGCCTCAACTTTCTTGACCACAAAAAAATTACATCTCTAGTATTCTTTAGAAAGGTAAGGAGTCTGAAGATTACTTTATCATTAACTTATTAACATTTTCTGTATAAATAACAACATTGTCAATTGAAAAAAAATCAACTAGAAATGTGCTAACAACATGACACAAATCACAAACAAAAGCTGTCACATTCTTCCTTTATTTACATGTAGGGTAAAAGAATAAAAAGGAAAAATGGGGGCAATGAATCTAGGCTTAAAGACAGTATCTTCCCCTTGCCCCTCTCCACTTTTTTTCTTGACATATGTGCTATATATTTCCTGAGACATAAAAACTCATTAATTTAAGCCCATTCACTTTAGATTTAATTCTAATCTGAATAGAACTGACTCTTGTAAAAGCTTAAAATATAACCAAAAATGTAAATATCCAAAATCAATATTGTATTATATTAACAGAAATCTCAAAGACTTCTCCGCTGAGATATATGTTTCTTACTGGAATCTACTTGACTCCGGATTTATATTTTTTAAGGTAATTAAAAGTAATACCTGTGTTTAAGGAAAATATTTTTAAAATCACAACTTTTTTTTTGGTACC